TAAGTAATACTAATAATAAACTATAATTAATTAATTTTAGGTTTAGAAGGAAAGTAATACGTAACGTTTAGTTAGTAGTAGTGGTGGTTTTGTTTTTTTACTGAAATTTGATATCTGGATGTATGTTAAAATAAATTATTCAAATTTTAAATATTTCATAACTATTTCTCTATTGGAGGTAAGTTACAATTATCAATATACAAATAATATTTATGAGGCTTGTGAATAGAGGTGACATATAATAGCATATCTCTACCAGTTTGAGGGTTTTGTTCTGCTGATACTTCTTTTAGGGGTGAATTTTATCTTTTCTACACTTTCTACAATAGCTTTATTTGTCTATTCTTTATGCTTTTTGTTTTTAGTTTAGTTGTGTGGAACTGTTTTGAAAGACATTAAGGCAGGCTTCAACAAATATTTTCAGAAGTAGAAGCCAGCCCAAAAACTCAGGAGCTAGGTGTGCTTAACCTATCTTCACAACTTGTGTACCGGGAAATGGGGGCTACACTAGTGCTTTGATTATCTGAGACTTTTTCTTTTCTTCATATTTGCTTAAAATAATTGTGCTATTACAATTCTAGACTATGATTTACATGTTTTGGAGAAATTGTCACTCAGAAATTAATTTTGGTTACAAAAGTTCAGATGTTGCATGATATTCAGAGTTTTCACATGCAGGATCTGGCGTGCATTCAAATCATAATTGGGCCAGTTCAAGCCTAGCCTTGCCTCTTTTATTATTAGCTGTTAAGAAAGGAATACAAAATATTTGTAACTTGATTAACATTATTTTATTAGTGATTTAAAACAGTATACAAAAACAAACAAAATACGCATTAAGATTTCTTAAAGATTTTGCTCAACTTCAGTTGTTATCCACTGCTCTATGCTGCACAGCAGACGTCCTTTAACCACAGATGCATGTTCAGGTTGTGTTGGAGTGTTGCTCAGTTACGCATTGTCCTCTTCCCTACAGATAATTGGTATCTTCATTCTGTTTTAACAAAGGCTTTTTCTTAATAAGTTGCAAGTGTAAGTTTGTGCTAATTTTTTATTTATTTTTCACAGGCGTTGATAGGGTGTTAATACACTTCTGTGTCTACAGCAGAAAAAGTGTAAAAATTTAGGAGCTATATACACCTATGTTAGCGATTAAATTCAACTAAAATGGGAACAGACAATCAAAAGAGGAAGTATTATAGGAGAAAAGTGGAATTGGACTCGTGTAACTCACAAAAAATGGAGAAATTGAGCTTGACCAACCGACACTTGGCAATTATGATTATGATGGCTTTTATAATTTTTCATGATAATGTGATTAAATGGCTGTAAAAATGATAATAATTTAAAACAAAGAACTTAAATATATTGAAAAATTTTATTTAGATTAAACAATAGGCTAACTACACTAGTGCCTTGATTATATGCTGTTTCTGTTATCCATTTTTTTTTTTTTCCCCCACACCAGCGGGGATAATTGAGGCACCAGTGTATATTTATTTACTTTCATAGCAATGAGTGCATGCTAACAACTGCATGATATCAACAATCACTTTATAGTATTGCCTGAACTAACTGCCTTTGGTCCTGTCTGAGTCTAAACATGTGCACTAATTGGTTGAATGGAAAGAAAGAAGAAAAACAAAATTAGTAACAAGTTGTGCAACCACAGTGCTTCATTCCTGAAGAAGCATGAAGTGTTGAATCCACCATTAATATCCAAGAAACAAAGTTCAATTTAGGACTCAAAGAAAGTGAAGATAGTTCCAGACTTCCAAGTGTTCAGAACTGTTCTAGATTTGAGTTTTATTTAGCACAGCCCTATGCACGAATAAAATGGGAGAAAATGCTTGCCACAATGAAATTTTTAGTCGCTATGGCGACCTGGCAGCCAGGATTTGTTGAGGCCTGCATTAATTTATGGTATAGTAACTGTTTTCTCCTTTAGGTGTTAACATGAAAATAACTACTTCATATTGTTTTACTTTCAGGTTGCCTTCCAGCTGAAACATGACTTTGTCAACATGGTTTTACAGTTACAGGGGGATCATCGAGAATCACAAGTTGTTTGGTTAAATCATGTATTATTTCTGGATTTAGGACCTATTCAGAGCAATGTGTAAAACGTCTATTTGTTTTACTTAGAACTGAAATGTATTTAATGCTAGCTCTCACTGTTGTTGTTATTAAAACATTCTGCTTTGACAGTTCTTTGCATTGTATATCCAAAAAAATACAAAATTCTTTAATGGTGTTTTGCATATATTATAATATACTTCTGAAAATTATTCAGCTTAGTTTTATACCATTTATCTTGAACTCCTGATAGTTTATTTATTGTTATTCACATTTGTACTCATTTTGACAAGAGGGATTAAAATTACTGGCACTCTTCCAAAAAGGAAACTTTTGTTTGTTTAATTTCCATTTGTGGTCATTGTTTTCACAATTTTATTTAAAGTTAAAAGGTGCAAAGTTACAGACTAATTAATAGTTAAACCCTTCATAACATTTCATAAGTCTGCTGACTTACAATGTTAAAACCAGGTTCCAATATCCATGGTGGGCACAGCACAGATAATCCATTGTGTAACTTTGCTTAATTATGAACAATCATTTTCATAGTATTTAGAGAACATATTTTGTAAGTGCAAATGCAAATTCTTCACTTTGCAACTATATATTTTGTTTGGTTTCAGTTCTATTTGTAATTTTGATATGATTTTTTTTTCTCAAGTATTGCAGAGTTTACTTAAGTGTTAAAAATAAAATTGGATTCTACCTATGCAGCTTTAAGCTATTGAATATGGTCAGTTATTTTGCAGCTTTAAAGAATTAATAAAAAAACTGCTAAAACAATTTATTTTCCAGTTGATTTTTATTTGAAAAAAAAAAAAATGTGCAAAATGTTTTCAGTGTTGGAAATAAATAAATTAAATACACTTATTTGCTCAGTACAAGCTCCTTTTTCACAATTAAGGTGTGAAACAATTCAGAAGACAGGGAAATAGCTCACTGTTATGGAATTAAGTAGTAATGCACCACGTATTCTATCACCATGAGTTTTTCAAAGATACTTGATTCTGTGTGTGAGTTTGTGCATTTATCTTTATAATAGATTTTTTTTTGTCAGATGTTGAACTTATGCTATAATATTTATGTTTTTGTGAAATTATTAAATACACTGTAAATTAGGTGCATTAATGGTGTAAACCAGTCCATTAAACTAACTAACTTTAGGAATGCTTTTTTTACATCAGTCCCTGCCCTTTTTATATGTAGACCTAGTCTCATGTAGGTCTAAACTTGTTAATGTAGTTTAACATATAATTGTGTGCATTCTACTATAGCATGTTCTTACATTTTTTAACTTTGAGTGAGGTAGATAAGCCTATTGTGAATTATTTCACCCTTAACAGCACTTGACATTAAACTTTCAGAGGTAGAAGGTAAGAAAAATAATTCTTGGATTAAAATCTAGGCCTCTGATTGCTTGTATGTGTATAAAATCAAAATTTGAAAACAAAAAATTTTTTTTGTGCTTATCTCTCAAAAAAGTTTAAGTTAATTTCAATATAATGTTAACTTAATAAAGTACTCTCCCCTTAAAAACGTTATACTAAATATATACTTCTAGGCTTAACAAAGGTGTTATATAATATGGTTTTTATGGTTTACATTCACACAAATGTCATGAACCATAAGTTTGTAGTTTATATTTAGATACATAATATTTGCAATTGCTTTCAACTTAACCAAGTAAGAAATTCTGATAATGTGGAGTAACATGCAGGTTAGTTTGTTTAATTTGTTGATGAGTAATGTAATTATTTGACATTCCTAATTAATTTCCCAATTTTTATTGTATCAAACACTGTTGTACTATTTTGCATCTGAATCAACAGATAAAGGTGTAGATTATGTCAGTGTAATGTCAATAATTATTATTGCTGGTTGTATGAAGATTTTGACATGGAAATATTTATTAGTTGCAATATTCAGTGTCATAGGAAATAAAACTTAACACATCTGTATAGATTGTGTTTTGTGTTCTGGCACTTTTGGTTAGTTGGGGTTAAAATTCTGTGAATACCACATGTGACAATATAGTCTAAGACTAAAAGCTTATTCATTTTACAGTTTGTAAACTAAATTTGTACTGTGATTCAGCATTTGCAATTAATCAGATATATACAAGAAAAAATCATTAATTGAAATATCTTATGCTTTGGCTAAAAGTAATAAATTGAAAACATTTCAATCAACTGAATACTAACTTTTTTTAGTGTACAACATATCAATTTGGAGCTTATGTAAAATTAAATTAGTACAGTTGTAATTATCAACTAGGCTTTGCTGAAATTATTTAATACAATATTAGTGAGTAAATTATTCCATTATACACTTAACACTACACTGCATAGTAATGATTCATTAATATAATGAAAGAAAGGTAAACATTTGTTATCTTGATTTATATCTCATTACTTTGTTATATTACAACATTCTTTTCTCTGAAATTGTTAGAAATGTTTTTTTAGATTCTGTATTTTGTACATAGGCTTTAACTTAAGAAATTGTTTATTTAGACCCATTTATTTGTTTCTATTTGTAATGTTAAAGGAATTGTTTAGAAATATACAGTTGCTCTGAACACGAATAGTTTGCAATTTGTGTAGTAATGCTGTTAGAAAACTTGGAGTCACTTGTATGTTTGGTTTGGTGGGTGTTCAACTTGCAATCTGTGGTTTATGGAATTGAAACCTATCATGGAAAATATTCACCCCTCTTAGCTGTGGGGTGCATTATAATGTAATGGTCAATCCCACTATTCATTGGTAAAAAGTATCCCAAGAATTGATGTTAGGTGGTTTTCACCAGCTTCCTTCTTTGTGGTGTATAAGTTTAAAATTTGGAACGGATAATACATAGTATTTTTGTGGCAAATTCCACAAAACAAATAAACTTGTATGTTTGTTCACCAAGATTCTGTAGTGGCTGTTGTAAGAGATTATTTTAATGCTGGGGTTTAGAGTGATCAAATAATAGATTAGGATTGAACAAAATTATTTGTTTTATCTTCAGTCTTTAGCTCTGTTTAACACAATAAACAATATATCAAACAGTTGTGTATTGGTGGTACTAATTTAATTTTGATAACTTGAGTTTGATTTCCTTAAAATTGAAGTTGTAACTTAAATTATATGTATCTTTGCTTAAATATTTTTACCTACATTGTAAGGTTTTTGGAGTTAGAATATAATTTTTGACATTATTATTGAAGTATATGTAAGCAATGAAAAATAAAGTGAAATGAAAACAGTTATTTTGTACAGTATAGTCAAATTGCCTTCATAATTTTGTCAATTTTAAGATTTTTCAAGTTGAGTCCTTTGTGTTATTTTTTGAACTGTTTACTAGTCCAAGAGGAAATACTGATGGTATATAAAGAAATACAGTAATATGCAAAAGGTAACAATCACAGAGTTGTTTCCATTTCTTTTTTTGAACAGTGTTTAGAGTGAGAAAACTTGTGATTTTTACATCTAATGTCCTTCACTTCAGTCTTCACTGTAGCAAAAATAAGACTGTGGAGGTGTAGTTTGTGTTTATAATGTAAAAAGCAATGCTTTGTACACTGATAGGCCATTTTACTAGGATCAGTCCACGTGGACTTGTATAACTCTCATATGAAAAACAGACTAGTCATGTGATGTCATTTGATTCCAGAACCTGTCTCTAAGGGACTTGAAAATAGATGCCAGTCTATTAGGAATGTCAGTATCAAAAATCATTTCAATGACAATTTTCAAAGACATGTATTGACAATGGTAATTAAAAGGAATATTTTTAATAATGAAAGTTTTTGGTCACCAAATGTTGGAGAGGAATCGAGTGTAAAGTGCAATATGTCCGACTATGTACCAGTTGTCTTATTTGTTCAACTGTGTTCTGGTTTCGACTATCGCCAATTGTATCATCTAAAGGTCATTACAAAAATTGTCACGTGATAACTGAAAACTAGTTCCGAAACCAATTGTATTAAGTTTTGCTTCAGACTGTGAAAAATGACAGACAACATGTAGTATAGTACCACGAGCTGTGTTACAGTTTGCTGAACACGAGTGAAAATATGGAAAACTCCATGAGGTATTTGACCTTATGATTTTCTGTGATAGTAAATGCCACTGGAGGTGGTGTTAATGGTGATGGTTTATTTCCATGGTAAGGATCATATCCTTTAATCTCTTTAGAAGAGTGCATAGCATAGATTATACGTGAATATTGTTGATGATCATATCCATTTCACTGCAGCTTTTCCACAATAATCATCGAGGTTTTTTTTCAGAACAATAACTCAACAATCCAATGTACTCGTATTATTCGAAATTGAAAGGGCGTAATAGTGACTTTAGTCACCTTCATTGATCTCCATAATTACCAGATCTCGATAGTATTGATCATCTTAGAATTGAACTTGAACATTTTATTCTTTTTTTAATACGTAAACCAAGAGTAGAATGAACTTCTCGACGAATGAGATACAATGGAACAGAATACCTGAAATTTCTCAAAGGTCGTTAATATTTTGAAAAGTTGTCCGTCTTGATATTAAGGTTGTGGTCCTAATAAATCGAATAGTCTTTCTGAAGCACCAATTTACGTTTTACATACCACTAATTCTTAATACGACAAAGGTAATCAATGTAATATAGTTAACATTCATAAATGTTACCGTTTTTATAGAATTAAAAGTTGAATATATAGTTTACTTTTTGTTGGAGACCCTTGATGGCCCAGGCATAAGCTCAAGGGCTTATAATGCTAAAACTCGGGGTTCAATCATTTGGCGGGCACAACGCAAATTAATTACTGTGTTTGATTACTGTGTATCTTTGCACTATAAGAAATGTACCCTGTATCCGGTGGATACTATAGTATTTGTACTGTGCATTTACTTTTATACTAAAACATTGATTTAAATCTTAAAAATTGAGACTTCTCCATAATAAGTATTTCACTCTTAATAATATATTTTTTAAGTTAGAAATTCGCGATATTAAACCATACGAAAGATAAAAGTATTAAACTTCAAATAGTTTTTCATTTTTGTTTTCAGTAAACATTGTAACAGTATTTCTATTTTTCAGCTTAATATTAAGCAATTCTGATTTTAATTTCATGTTATACTTTTGTAGCTTGTAACAAAAGTCTGACGTTTCTGTGATATTCTCCTATTGTTTTTGTACACCAAAGTATAGAATAAAAATAGACAAATTCTTGAAAGAATGAAATGGTCGATGATGAAATTTATCGTTTCATTTTAATTGAAAATGTTTGACTAACGTAAGTTAATAGGGGGATAATAAAAACTGGTTAAGGCTTAACTACGAACGTCTCTATGGTCGGCAGTTCAAAATAGGGGACCACTATGTTTGAATACTTAACTCTCCGACTTGGTTGATTCAGCTCGTGTAGCGTTTACGTTGAAAACGTAATATTCAGGAACACCGATATTCAATAGGTATTAACCATACTGGCTGGCTTCAATGTTCAGTATTGATGGCATTTTCAAGATACCACTTATAAAAGGCTCTGGGAATATGTTTAAATAGAGGTGAATTATTCTTAGTTATAGAAGGATGAAATTAGCAGTTATTTGAGTTGTGGCAAAAATACCAAGTACTAAACAATGGACGTTGTCTTTCATAATAAGACCTTCATGGCTCTTACTTCAAATATATTTTGAAAATATTACGATGTAGGCACTCAACCGTAGAAGTCTTGCTTCACAGCAGCGGGTCCAATCCGTAAAATCTATTTAGCAAAATTAGACTATATATAAGAAAGCTTCTGTAACTTTCATTCAGAACATCAGAAAATGAATACAAAACATTGTTTGAAATGTATTCTTAAAATATTACAATGTTATATAGTAGATAAATCACCAAATATTAAACGTATTAGAAATAAACATAAAAATCCAGAGTATGGATTTTATTTTATTTTTTGTCAGATATAATACATTATTTGGCATGCCGTGCAGCGGGGTGGGAGGTTCGTTTCCATGTTGTACACGTTCCACACTTTTAGCTGTTTAAGAAAGCAATTATTCGGTCAAGAACATTATTTGTGAATATTTGATTCATATATTTTATATATTTTGTTAAAACTGTATATGACTAAAATATGTGATTCTCACTTTTTTAATTCTGAAAGATGCGATTAATTGGACTTATGGTTCTTAAAAGGGCGATTGCTCTTAAATCTGACCACTAAGTAAGTTTTCCTACTTCCAGGCTTTTTCTAAAAATTGCAATTCCCCATTTATATATAATTCCAGAATTTTAATGTTCTAAAAATTCATATGGAAATTCTTAGGATGAACAAAAGTGTTGTTAGAGTGTACTCAGAGTATAGTGTGAATCTATGAACACTATAATAATTTTGATCAAAATGGGCACTAATAAAAGAGATAAGGAATAAAGATAGAAACCACACAAAGAGCTATGGAAAGAAAAATACTTCATATAACAATTACAAGACAGATGGAGAAATGACAGAATAAGAAAACTAACAAATATAATAGATGCAGTAAGGTTCATTCCAAGAACTAAATAGGCTGGGCATGAAGCAAGGTATTCTGATAATAGGTGGACATTAAGAACAATGGAATGGCAACCCAGGACAGGGCAAAGGTCTAAGGGAAGGCAAAAGAGAAGATAAAGGGACGATATAGTGGCGGAAGTAAGCATCAGATGGACACCGTATGCTAAGAATCGGAAATACTGGAATGATCTGACAGAGAGTTACATCCAAAGAGGGATGACTGCAGCTTAGATAGATATAATAATTTTGAATTTAATAATATTTGTTCTGTTTATATAAAAAAAAAACTTTTAAACATACTTGAATACTGAATTATTCATTGAAAAGTCTCAATGACAAAACGTTGAATAATTTCCAACTTTAATATTTTTTCGTAATGGCAGCAGCAGGGGGGAAGCACCACACTCAATATTTATTAGCCTACCCAATACGTTTCATTAAAACATTCAGCTCACCGATGAATATCATGTTCCTAGACACTAGGCAACTTTATGAGGAGGAAAATTCCACTCAACTAAGCATAATTCAATCTTTGACTTGTCGTCTTACCTTTACAGCCAATAAGAAATAAGAACAATTGAAACCTGCTAATTAGGAATCACCTACGTAATTTCGAATTTGCTAAGCAAAATTAGAAATTTATGAAAATATTTCCTAGCAAAAACAGTCCTACTTTAGAGCTTCTTAATTTTTTTTTTATGTAAATTCCTTTATCCTTCTAAAATAAGATAAAACTGTTCCCAGCCCTCTGGTGGCTTAATGGTAAGTCTGAGGGCTTATAATACTAAAAATCGGGTTTCGATACCTGCGGCTGACATAGCACAGGTAACTTATTATTTAGATTTGTGCTTAGAAAAAGTCATCTTATTTACGCGTTTAGCAAGAAAAGTTCATTCCTTTAGCTATTGTAATAAACAACGTTTCGCATTATAAATGATTCAGTCCGAAACGTGTATACGTTATCAATATAAAGAACATAGTTCTTCTTCTAGTGGCGCTACTGATAAATGTATTTTTAGATTTTTGTTACTTAGTTGTCTTGATGTCATTGAACCACACTTTCATTTGTCCATATAGATGTAACTTTAACCTTAAAGTTGCCTTTTTGTTTTTTCTGTATACATCAAACAAATATCCTCTTGTGACGAAGGACATTGCTTCATCAGTTACGCAGGTCTTATAACAGTTGAACTTTGACCCAGTCAATGAAACTTTAAGAGGATTACAAATGGACTTGCGTCAGTATTTCGTGTAATAAGCTTGGTAGAAATTTAAGAAATTAAATTAAACATGATGATTAATAATAAAACAGTTCTTTCCTTTTTCTCATTATTATGTACTGTTTTTTTTTTAAGCATTGACTAAATTGCGGTTTTAGGACTAACATTTTTACAATAAGCTTAATGGTTTACCATAAAGCCCAAACATTTTATAGTTTACTTATGATATTACTTGTTGGTAAGTTTAAAAATATTAGATGCTTTTAGAATATACGTTTTAAATACAATTCAGTAAATTGTTTCTTTGTGATAATTCTTGAATTACTATTTGTTTGATTTGATAGTTATCTAACTTAACACTTAATATTTCTCTACTAACTGAGCTCAGTATATTCTAAACTAGCGATTAATATACAAACCAACGACAGTATGTACAAGCTGTAATTTTTTTTTCTAATTTTTGAAACCATGTGATTTCACCAGAATCATGATATCTTCAAGTTTTGCCCCTTAAGGTCACGTGACATTGAAAGTTGTGCATAAAAGCTGCAGCTGCTGGTTGTATCGGTCTCTCGATTTTTAGACTTAAGCAGTGTTGCTTACAAGAGAAGTAAAGACATGACAACTGATCTAGGAGCCGGGATTCCTTCGAGTCAGTCCTTCAACAGTTTTATGGAGATGCACCAACATCTTCATTCAGACACAGATGGGCTACCTAGCTGGCCCGTCCATGTGTATGATGGCTATATGGAACATCCAGGCCGTGGAGAGGTGTTTTTATTCACCTCCGAATCTGTAGGAGAAGGTCATCCAGGTAACTTGCAAGAATATCTTATTTCTGTGAATGTAAAACAACCATTTGAGGTTTGGCAATAGAGCCAGATATGTATGCCTGCTTCGTTGTTAGTTCCAGGTAAAGTTTTAAACATAAAAACAAAGTTATAATGAATATTATATAACAGTAAATATGGTTGTTTTAATTTGACATAAAGTAACGTCCAAATTTTAGTTAAGCTTTTGTTTCATCATAAAAATAAAATATGTGAAACAGTAGGTGGAATTTTTCCTCCATTTAATTTATATTTGTGAAATGAATTCCACTCCTATGAACGAAGTAACAACAATCGTTTTATGTGAATATTTCGAAAGAGGGATCCTTAAATCAAGACTATTTTTCACTCTAATGAGCTATATTTCAAATACAAATCTTATCTGGTGTAGCCTAGCTGTTAGGACACTCGATTCACAATCTTTAGGTAACGGATTCGAATCCAGTCACCGAACATTCTCCCTCTTTCAGCAGTGGGAGTTTTATAATGTGACAGACAATCCCGCTATTAGTTGGTAAAGAGTAGTGGGTGATGCTGATTAGCTGACAACCCTCTAGTCTATCACTTCCAAGTGAGGGACGGCTAGCGCAGAAAGCAGAACAAACAATAAACAAAAGCAAAGAAAATCACGATCGTAATGTCGTAATGCATTATGCTCAAATATGGGAAGTATGAAAGCAAAAAATAGTTTATATTTTGGAAAAGTTCAGAGTTGTATTGTAAATACTACTTATCCGTTGTGTAACCTTAACTAACCTGGTTGTTGAAAATTTATCTAAAATCACTTTAATATCTATTGGTATTATTTACGGAAAGGTTTAGTATATGAACTTATAAAAATACAATGTGTTAACCCTTTTAATTCAGCACCCCAATAAAAAAACTTAAATATACGCATGCTCACGCAAACTAATTTACTGTAAATATTAAGGAAAGCATTTTTGTGAGGAATTACAAAAATCTCTACTTAGCTATTAGATAATCATTTTAACGGAAGTTGTCATATATACATATACCACGTGTTTGAGACAAATATAATGAAATTTTACACAAAATATTTTGTTGCCTCGTATTTCCTACTTTGAAAAATTCCATTGGTTTAAATAACGTTTCATTTAGCGCCCTGGCTGTACAATGAACTTCAGACATGGAGGAGTACTTCCCGAGGCTCATCGACAAGACAGACATAATTTTGAACTCTTTGTTAGTTTCAAAAATACAACGATTTTTATATTATTGTCATTCAAAATTGCTATAATCTCAATATTACAAACCCTGCCAATCCCAATTTACATCTTTTAATGATCTAAATAAATCAAAACATGACCTGAAATTCGATTCGATACAAAAGAAAAAAAACCAAAAAACCTAACTTTACTGTCTTCTTAACAATAAATTTAACCACTATTAGTAGTTATAAAATATTCTCGACAATTTTATTGTTGAAGGTTTTTTTCTAAAAATTTCCTATTATAGCCTACTCTGGTTTTACTTTGAAATTTTACTTTCGTTAATAATTTCCTGGATATAAAATAGCATATGCTACGTTACTAACAAATTAATGCTTTATTAAATAAATAATACTTTGTGAATGAAGGTACAAGGATGATTCAGAAAAAATAATAAAAAACTAGTATTTCATAAATAAATATGATAATCATTTCTGTCTGGTTAGATTATCAATCAAGATATTGCGAAAACTTGTATTAAATATAATTTACCATAAATGATTTATAATAATTGATCAAAATAGAAACATATATTTTCACAAAAAAAATAGTCGTTGTTCCTTTGTTTATTTCAGTAATTCGCTCATAATTTTGATCTGGCAGATCATAGAGAAATTAACTACACAATAGTTCCTCGTCAATTCGAATAGTGGGATTTCGCTGTCGCTCTTATAACGCACCCAAACACAGGGGTTATTCAATTTATTTATTTTTTTGCGTTTTGATGGAAATTCCCATATGTTCATAGGTTCTGACTTTTAAATGACGTTTGGTTTTGCCAATATAGGAGGCCTTACAATCTCCACACGTGTAAAGATAGACAAGCCAGGAACAATAAGGAATGGGGAGGAGATCTTTAGTTGGGAAAACTTTTTTATGCGTGATGTGGATTTAAAACTAATCTGAAATCCGCTTGAGGGTAGTAACGACCAAGTATGCGTTTAAGTTGATTTTTTAAAAATTTAATCTGTAAGGCCTCCTATATTGGCAAAACCAAACGCCATTTAAAAGTCAGAGGCTATGAACATATGGGAATTTCTATCAAAACGCAAAAAAAAATTGAGTAACCCCCGTGTTTCCTCTATACGCCAACATAGTGAAGAAACAGGACATCGACCTGTACTATCAAATTTCTCTATCCTCTGCAAGTTTAATACTGACCTGGAATTATTGATTAAAGAAACCCTCCACATCAAACAGCACTCTCCAAAACTGAACAACATGCAGTCTTCATTTAAATCATGCATTTTTTAATATGTTCGTATTACTGATTTAACCCTTTTTTGTTGTTGTGTTTTCTTGCTGTAGTTTCTCCCCATGATTACTGTTTTGTGTTTTATTTGTTTAATTATGGTTATATTTAGTAATTGTACTTTGACAATGTCCAAAGACTTATGTAAATTTATTTTATTTTGCTCAGATACTGAAGATGGAATCTGATAAAATTCCGGAACGTTTATCTATGTCCCCTTTTTGTTGTATATCATAAGTGTCGTAATCTTGTTTATTATCAAACTTCGTTTTCCTTCGAACACATCGATTACTGATGTACACTTTGTGGGAGACACATATTGCATCATATTGAAACATTTTGTTTTTGCCTTTTGCAACGCTCAGTGTAAAGAACTGAACAAAAATATTAGGGGAAATCACTTATTTTTTAATGTAAGATCCATTGAAGATCTAATTAGTGAGTGTAATATTGATGGTATTTTTGTTTATGTATTTTTGTGTGACACATATGTTATTAAGGACCTGTAACTAACAAAGTCACAGACCCACAAGCAATTTATAGCATCAATAGTTTAGAAAAATGTACTTAAAAGCCGATGGAAGTACATATCGGTAATTCCAGGGTTAATAGAGAAATTTGTTTCAAAATCTCCCCTATCACGTGTGTTTACGTTGTGAATTGAAATGTCTTGTACTTTGAACTAGAGAGATGGTGACCTTTCAACAGCAACTGGGACTTAAGGGTTGAAAACGCTGCTTACAAGTACAAAAAACACACATATCACAGTTACTCACAGAACATATATAGAACAAGTGGTTAAAACCGGTTTGAAGCGGTTCTACGTGATCCCTCCAGATTTGGATACTTGATACTGATTTTATCATCTAGATTTGTAACACTTTTATTAAATCTAGATAGCCATATATATATTTCACTTTGTTTTCAAGGAATAAACTTTGTACGTCAGAGAAATTCGGAAATGCCTATAAGGTTCGACCTTGTTGACGAATAACGAATATCACTATTTAGAATTAAAAAAATAAATACAAAATCAGTCAACAAATTCAAGAAAACATTGCTTCTAAGCATTTATTATAGAACCTTTATGACTTGACGATACTGTAATAACGAGAACTTAATGAATTGGTGTTTTCTGGAGTACTGTGTTCGATTCTTGATTTGTGAATAATACTGTTTATTATCCAATCAGAAAATTTCAAACAAAGAAAAAACGGCATTATAACTTGATGTTGACATCTTAATACATTTTTTCGATAATCGAAAAATTCTGTTGTCTACCGTTTAGTCTTCTACGTATTTGGCAAAAGGGAGGAAACAACATTAGGGTCGGCAACTTTTTTAACAGCGAGCTGTTAACGGACAAATACAGTTTTAGATGAAATATTTTAATACTTCCATACAATTAGACTAGAAACCGGGTTTTGATACCTGTGGTGGGCAGAGCACAGATAGCCCTTTATGTACCTTTGTGCTTAATAACAAACAACAACTCACAGTTAGAGAAAATAGAATAAACAGGGTTGCATACATAATAAAGTTAAGCAAGTTAGATACAAGATAAAGGAGGGATCTACAGTCTCAAGATCTAAAGTCTATACGATCTACAGTCTCAAGATCTAAAGTCTGTACGATCTACAGTCTATAAGATCTACAGTCTCAAGATCTATAGTCTATACCAGTAGTTCCCAACCTTTTCTCCACCAAGAACCTCTTTTTATTATCATTTTTTCCCCCACGGCCCCCATGTTTTTGAAAGATTCCGTCTACCCAACAAACTGTTTTTATTAACTAATAATTAACTCGTTCTCCCATTTTTCACTATCAAATAAAAGACATATATAACTGAGTGTGCAATTAAAAAAACACATCAGTATTAAAAACTTACTTGTTTAATGAGATGGTATTACCTATGCGAACCCCAGGTTGGGAACCACTGGTCTATATAATCTACAGTCTATGCGATCTAAAGTCTATAAGATCTATATTCTCTAAGATTTCCAGTCTATAAGATCTATAGTCTATAAGATTTCCAGTCTATAACATTTACATTCTATAAGATTTATAGTCTATAACAGCATTTCCGAAACTATGTTTCTTGGAACTGGTGTTCCGTCCGAGATTGATAAGTGCTCCGTGAAAAAATCATGATTTTAACTTTGATAAAATATTTAACATTGTTTGTACGATCATAACTTATTATGATATATTTTCCTATGTATTAAAATTAGATAATATTGATTTCGCATTGAAAAAGAATTATAGAAAATGCCATATCTATTCCACATAATATCTTAGTGGAGAGGTTTGTACCTAAAATATATTATAATCATAAAAATGTAAAAATTCATTAATATGTAATTTGATTAAATAAATAAATGAATAATATACAAATCTAGAGGGCGCTGCGCGCGAAACATACCCTCTACACCGATATTTCACTTGTATAGTGTTCCGTTAACTTTCTCTCAGCTGAAAAGTGTTCCGTGGCCAAAAAAGTTTGGGAAACGCTGGTCTATAAGATGTACAGTCTATAAGATTTCACTTTTATTCACAAATCTCTTTTGTGACATGATAATATAATTTGGAACTGGCCAGAAAGGAAGTTGGAAAATATGCTACATCCTTGGAATTTGAAGGAAAAATACCTTTCTTTTTAGAGTGCATTTTATCGTTTTCACATTGTTTAAATCCCAGTTGTTTATGTGTTACAGCGGCCTTTGCTTTTCCCGATTTGTTGTAACTTCTTAGTCTAGAAAGTAATTATCGATCCTTTATGTTATGTGGAAATATTCTGAAGATCAGTCTTCATTAAAAAACAAACAAACGAGTTTCTAAATCCTTTACAGTAAGATCATGATAGCATTGTGAGTTCAAAGGTCAAGAAATCGATCATGTTTATTATAGTACGTCCAAATTATCTAGCTGGTGGAGTTAAAATGTGGGGAGGGGCTGTCTTGCTTGATCTTATGTAGCTCTATCACAACATTGGAATATTTTGAGGTTGATAAAACTGACCCCTTGGTAGAATAGAATGTCCTAAAATGGCATACTTTTAGGATCAAAAGGTCAAAAGTTAACAATAGAAATGTCGAAAAAGTATATCAGTTATCGTTTCGAAACACGTTAATGTATTATATATAAATAAATATATATATATATATAACAGAAAATTGGGACTGGAGGAAATTTTAAGATTTTGTTTTAGAAACCTTTTTGAATTAATCAAAAACGTATTTTCTTATGTAGAAAAACTCACAGTACTATAACAACAGTGATAGTATTTGTTTCTTTTGTAAATTGTACAACCAAGAAAATACCTTTTATTTGAATAATTTATCCAGTCTCACTGTCATATATGCAAACCTATTATGCGAATCATTTCATGACGCTCATATATCATTATATCTAGTTTATAGTGGAGAAAATAAGTTTACTTGTAGGCGTTAGTAAATATTATATTTTCCGATCATACATGATAACTCCATTTCTGTGCAAGTTCCGATTTTCTTTTAATGCTTAATCATGAATAATGTGTTATTTGGACGTGTATCTTAGCACGATAATAGTACAGCGTTTCCAATACTTCATCTTCAGTTGAACAAGATAGTCTTTATTATTATAGTTTATGTATTACTGGGCTGTATTTAAAACTATTAACGCTATGGAACATCCAGTGCCGTTGTACATTTTTACACTAGTCAGGAAAAAGCATTCAAAGTCGGTTAAAAGTAAAATCATCAAAGCGTCAGACTTATATACTGCGTACCAGTTGTTTATGAAGGATAATCGTCTTAGAATTACAACATAACGTACAAACTTATATGAGACTGTAACGCCCTAACCACCAGGCCATGCAAGAGATTTACATCTATGAGACTGTAACGCCCTAACCACCAGGCCATGCAAGAGATTTACATCTATGAGACTGCAACGTCCTAACCACATAAGTCACATATTTTCAGAGTATTAGAAGCGAACATGTGTCTATGTTTAGCATGTAAATCTCTTGCATGGCCTGGTGGTTAGGGCGTTTGACTGGCAATCTGTGGATCGCAGGATCGAAACCCTTTGCCGAACATGCTCACCCTCTTAGCCCTGGAAGGCGTTATAATATGATAACTAGTCTCACTATTTGTTGCTAAGAGTAGCCCAAGAGTTGACAGTGGGTCGTATTGACTAGTTTCCTTCTCTCTGCGGACTTACAACGCTAGAAATCGGGTTTCGATACCCGTGGTGGCCAGAGCACAGATAGTCTATTGTGTAGCTTTGTGCTTAACTTCAAACAAACAAACACTCCTTTTCTCTAGTCTATTATTTAAAAATTAGGAACGGCTAGCGCATATAGCTCTCGTGAAACTCAGCAAACAAACAAACAAACTTACACTTGAATCACAAAATTTGAATCAAAACGATGACCTAATATGGCTTGATTCTTATTTCTATATAAAACACAAATATAAGAATCTTGTATAAAACGTTACAGGTTAGAATCACAAAGTGAAATTAATTTAATGCAATGATTAATTGTTAATTTCAACAGATTCTAGTTTGTGCATGTTAGAAAAGCTTTTGTGTCTGAGCATTTTTAGTTTGTTGGTTAAGTTTTCAGTAGTAGCTTTTGTACTCATTATCCAAATATAAATACCACAAGTCAATTTGTTTTTCCGTAATAGATAAAATGTGTGACCAAATCAGTGACGCCATTTTAGACGCACATCTTTCCCAAGACCCGGATGCAAAGGTAGCGTGTGGTAAGTAAACTGGAAAATCAAATATTATAACTAGATGTGGTTTAAAAATAATAATATCGCAACAGTCCAAGAGATGTTCTATGCTGATTATTCACTGTATTTTGTTACCAAGTCGTGTATTTGAATTTACCTATTTAAATATTACCATTAGATCTCATTCTCAGATACGTTAATATATATATATATATGTGTGTGTGTTCACACATATAATCATATATTAGATCTAAGTTTAATAAATTATTGCTTCTTGTGATTATACAAAATTAGCCATCTAGCTCTTATTTATTTCTCAGTAATCATATTTACAATAAAAAACAGAACAAAAACATTAAATATAAAGGACGATTACATTACGTATACAAACATTATCGTCGAGTTAAGAATCGTATGCTTACGATGTATATTTCAATGGAGGCATGTTATGTGTTTAATACCAACATTTTACTGTTATTACTAATTCTAATGTTTCACAACAAACTGAGGTTGGAAAAATTAGAAACACCTGCTTAAAGATGTGCCATTCTTTCCCAGATATTAACTGGACTATATTTTAAGCTGACTGATTAAAAATTGACTCCGATTATCTCTTTACCAAGTGCTGTATATTATATGAACATATGTAAGCTGAGTTCTACATTAGCTATCAAGCAATACGAGAACAAAATGCATGTTAATTAGCTGATTTTCAAAGAGGACAGATTATAGGAGCCCGATTAACAGATGCTTTAGTGACTCAAATTTCGCAACTTCTTGGTTTTACAATATGGACAATATTTAAAGGTTATTAATGGCGATTATTCCGCAAGTCTCATCAGGTAAATGGTAGCTGGAAGATCATCGTGAGTGCATGAAACCGTCGTACTTTATGCCAGCTTGTGTCATCGAGGAATGGAACCTAAATCCTCAACATACCTTTCAGGAACTTGCAGATCCCTTTACTATAAAAAACTGAAATAGTTTTACTGCCAAAGGCGGGACCACACATTATTAAGTCGTTTCCAATGGATGCTTATACGTTTTTGCTCAACCCCATCATAAACGATGTAGTAAAATCTAAATTTTTAGCCATTCGTAAATTTGTTGTATGATGTTATATTTTAGTGAATTTTAGGACATGAAGGACGATTCTAAGAAATGGTGTAAGTATAATGCGTTAAAGGAAGGTGGTATTGTTTCAGCTGTTCTCGCAGATTTACTAATGTTTATGTCTATTAAATATGTAAAACATTGATAATAATTATAAAAAGGGTTAATAAAACGGGTATATAATGAATGCAAATATTATCTTGTATTGTTGATAAAAATTGGCTGAACTAGAAAGCACAAACATTTCAAAAGTGTCGTTAAGTATTCCAAGGTATGTTTTTTCCAAGATACACGACAACCCGGTAGAGATCTTACAATGACCTAACTGTAAGTAGAGTGTGGATGTTACCTCCAGAACAGTAACATAAACATTAGAAAGAAGTAGTCGATTTGTATCTGGTCAAAAGCTATTGGAATGAGCAGAGCCAAACGAGGATGCTCTTTACAGATGAACCCAAACTTTAATTCTTTGACAATAATCAACAATGGAGATTAATACAATTAATACAGCTAATGGTGTTTGAGATCTAAACATAATTGATGATACTTTGACCGCTGACAGGTACAATTAGTTTCTTATCCATCACACAATTCTCTCGGGAACAAGACGTTTTGAGTAGACATTCATCTTTTAACAAGTCAGTGATCCCAAGCACGTAGAAAATGTGGTGAAACGATACCTGGATGGAAGAGACCAAGGAAAATGTCTAGTGAAACAATTTGACTGAATTTTGGGGAGTAATACAGGGCATTTGGAACAATATTTCACAATTGTATATTGAAAAACTTATGGTAGCATAAAAATGCAAGAACTGCTCTATTTAAAGGAAACACCAAAATACTAGTGCATTGTATAACTCATTAATTATTATTTTGTAGTTTTTGTAATAATTATTTTATTAAACATAAATTGGCCATTTAATTGTAATTAATTATTTTTCTTTACTCCTGTATGTGTATCAATTACTTTTCCGTAATTATTTCCAATACCGTATATCTATATTTAAAGTAGGCAAATACATCTAATCAAATATAATAAAATATTCATTCACCTAATAAGCATTGAAGAAAGTCAACAAAGCATACGAGACATTAAATTCACTATTCTGTCAATGTTTTGTTCATAAATGTGGATCATTTTGCAAACGTAAGAATATTTTACAGTTTTATACAAACCTATTAATTCAGTTAAAACAATTCATAATCACTTAATGTACCCAAAATAAATGATTTTATATATTAAGTTACGTGTTTTATAGGTCAGTATATCAAAAGGTTTTTACAATGTTGATGTGCATTGATATTCCTATAAATTAGAGGAAAGTTTTCAATGTAATATTTTCGCTCTAAATCGAAGTAAAGAAAATAACCCATCATATGTTATTGTCACTTCATATGTTACTATGCTAGTAAAATGTTCAGAGTAAAGCAAAATGTAACTACTTAATTTCTTTCACGCGCAGAATGTGTAACCAAAACGGGTATGGTTCTTTTATGTGGAGAGATAACTTCTAAGACACATGTGGACTATCAGAGGGTTGTTCGAAACACTATTAAGCATATTGGTTACGACGATTCTTCTAAAGGTAAGGCTGCTTTATTGGGTATGTGTAGCAATTATTCTCTTGGTTCTGTACTGTGGCAATTTTCAAGCCCAAAACTGTTCAACTATATCAAAGAAAAAGGTACGAATAACCTTCTAGTTTGAAGTTAACGGTTTTCGCATGAACGATGAAAATCAACATTTACGTATAACTTGTGTATTATATATGATAATATATTTTATCACTATCACAGTTTAATTGCACCAATGAAAAAACTTGAAGATGAGGATTTCCCGTGCAATATACTGTGTATATGAGCTTAAGAATAAACTTATGTTTATTATATTTATTCAGAAACTGTTAGTTTGATAATTTTTGTCTCAATAAAGTTGTTGTTCAGCTAAAAGTTATACAATGAAATATCTGCACTCTATGCATCATGGAGAATTGAAACCCGAATTTTAGCACTGTAAATCCTTAAACTTACCATTGACATAACAAGGGACTTGTCTTAATTAAGCCAGCCAGAGGATATCAGCATTGTAATTCAAAGCATTACTCTTTATTTCAGTAATTGTTTCTTAAATTTTTACGTTAGAATATTAGTATTTCTTTTATTCTCCTTTTGTCTCTATATAAATATTGTGACCAAATTACACATAGATAGGTAGAACTGAACATATCTTTAAATATAGACCACTTTTGTATAATAAAAAGTAGTTTGTAACCCATAATAGTAATATGCCTGTGTCCCTAAAAGACCGAATAAAGAACGTAGTGTTGAAAAGTACACTAGGCCTAAAACTAATATCTTACGACAAGTATAATTAATATGTAATTTCTGTTTAAAAATTCACTGGATAATCTAAACCAAATTCTAATTCTTCCGTATTTAATAACCTAAATAACTAACTAAGCTATTATAATATGTTTAGTTTTATTTACTGATGGATTTTTACCACTTTTTTAAAGGTTTCGACTACAAAACAATGAATCTAGTGGTGGCTATAGAAGAACAAAGTGAAAACATTGCTAGCGGAGTTCATCACGAAAAGGACGAAGACACATTGGGAGCTGGAGATCAGGTTATTTTCTATTTATATCCTAAAAAGATCCATAGTAAATTTTATGGATATTTTCTCCACTTGATAAAATAATTTGAAACTACATTATATTTTTCGTTTATTTTTTATGGTAACTATTAATCTTCAAAAGTCTAAATAAATTGTAGCTTCACGTCTTTAAAAACATGTAGAGAACATTTTATATATATAATGAACCTTTAAAACATTTTTGTGGAAATACAATAAAATATATCTAGTCAATTTAACAAAAAATATTACAAACTCGAGAAACTATGAAAGCTCAAAAAAAGTCTGCTAATTTCACGACAATATGCTTTCATAAAAATCTAGATCATACATATGAATAATGATTAAAAGCAGTTCACGTGAGAATACGATATTATTGATTTCATATATAAAAAATAAGTATTGAAATATTTAGTCTGATTACTTTCAGGGCTTGATGTTCGGCTATGCTACCAATGAGACTGAAGAATGTATGCCGTTGACTGTAAAATTAGCCCACGTGTTAAATCTACGTTTAGCTGAAATGCGACGAGATGGAACATTCTGGTGGGCTAGACCAGATTCCAAAACACAGGTAAAAACTGCATTTAATGATTAGAACTGTCAAGAACAATAATCCATATTTTTAAGCTGGTGAAGATGTAACCTTATCAAAGTAGCTTTTCTAGTGTAATGAAATAAACACACTAATATTTCAGAACATTTTCCCGAACAAGTACAAGATAAATATCTATTATAGGAATTGTTTATCAACTAAGAAAATTGTTAGTTTAGTTATTCACCTAGAGTCCCTCTTTAATATTTTTTAACTAAATACAACCTAAAAAAATACAGTTAGGTAAAACTAGAAAGACTACAAGGTAATTGAAAGCTTTTAATTTATTCACCAGCGATTCCTTGAAATATCATGTGTTTTAGTTTCTCATCATCTGAAGCCTTTATAAAAAAAAAAGTAATTTAATATACTTTTCCACGATGGATTAGGTTTTTCAAAAAAAGTGTTTTATCTATCCTAACAGATTCGGATAGTTATCTTGGATGTTTTTTAACTAAGTAATTTCATTGTACTTATAGTAGCTCTTGAAGCTCTTTATAATATAGATATCTACTTATTTAGTCTGTGATAATTATTTAATTTATGAAACTATAACATATTTATCACACATATTATTGATGTTTAGGTAACATGCGAGTATTACTTCGACCATGGGGTTGCTGTGCCCATTCGGGTACACACCGTTATTATCTCTGTTCAGCACTCTGATGAGATTAGTTTAGAGGAACTTCGCAAACAGATCTTGGAAAAGCTCATCAAAACTGTTATTCCTCCCGAACTGATGGATGATAAAACAATTTTGCACATTAATCCATGCGGTAAATTTGTCATAGGTGGACCTATGGTAAGTTAATAATTATACAGTGTTACTTAGAAACCTAAATATAGGGCTGGTGTTACTGACCGACAGTTGATATTAATTAGTAACCGTAGGATGTTATTCAGAAACGTAAATATATGACAGATGTTACTCTATAAGTTAGTAACTGTATGATGCTACTCCATAAGTTAGTATGTGCATGATGTTCTTATTTAAAAGTAAATATAGGCTTGATGCTACTTATAAAAGTAAACATAGGTTTGATGTTACTTAATAAGTTAGTAAGTGTAATGCGTTATTTAGAAACATAAATATAGGTTCGATGTTGTTCTATAAGTTACTAACTGTATGAGATTACTTATAAATGAAAATACAGATTTGATGTTACTTATAAAAGTAAATATAGGTTTGATGTTACTTATAAAAGTAAACATAGGTTTGATGTCACTTAATAAGTTAGTAAGTGTAATGCGTTACTTAGAAACATAAATATAGGTTTGATGTTGTTCTATAAGTTAGTAACTGTATGATATAAATTATAAATGAAAATACAGGTTTGATGCTATTTCATAAGTTTGTAATTATGATGTGTTATTTAGAAACATAAATATAAGTTTGATGTTGTTCCAGCCTGGATAAAAACATTTATCTAGTGAATGAAGACAATCACATGTTAGTACGTTTTTTATTAAACAGATTATGTAGTTATTCAAAGCTTCGTGTTGTTTTTCAAAACAAAAGTTAATTTTAAATCAGTTACCAGTAACATTATATTTTTGGACTACCCATTAGAAAGTAATTTTTCTCATATTTGACTTGCTAGCTATAGGTTTAAAACTGAGAATTTTCGCATTTCTTTTAGGCTATTTATATAACTAACTTACGGAAGCAAAAATTATATAAAGGACGATGTTCGATATTATTCCCCCTTCCCTATTTATTTTGTTATTAAATTCCTAATGATCTCATTAGATGATATATTGCGTATCCTGCTTTGTGGAAGGTAAAGATTGACAAACTGTTGTCAAAAGTCTATAAAAAAAGTGGAAATTGGCCCTATTTTAGAGTGTTTTTATCCTTCCCCTTAGGCAAAAATCCTAAAACTAAATAGTTCCTGTACACTGTAGGACAGATTCCAGTTTTTATTAAAAAAACGGTAATCGAACCAGCCAACTATGGGTGATACAAGCCAAAAGTCTATGAAATATTGGAAATGTGACCTTTTTCTCTGACAAAAATCCTAAATAGCCCATATACATCATCGACAGTTTCCAGTTACGGTACCAAAAATTACGGTAATCCAGCCAGCCAACTGTGGGTGATGGATGTTAACATACATACATACACAGACATGCATATAATGTATCATTTTTATTAAGAAGTGTGAAATGATTAATCGTGTATTTAATGTACAGCATCATTAGTATGCACGTAGTCAGTAAAAACAATATACATTTTTTAAACAAAACAATTAATTTTATTAATGACAAATCTGATAAAAGATATGCCAAGAGTGAGATGTGTACATAACCTTGCTCGCCATTAGTACCGAAAGCGTGATGTCATTTAGGGGGATCCGGAGGACATGCTTCCTTGGGAAAATCTTGTAAAATATGGTGCAGCTTGATGCATTTTAATAAGCACTTGGCGTGAAATACTTTGAATATCCAGGAACCTCAAGAATAGACAGTTTCTGTCCTCAACACGCCTGATTGTTTTTGATGAATGAGAACATTTCTGTTTTTCCTTGAATGATAATTTAATACTTATGCCTGAGAGCATGAGATCAAGGCCGATTGCGTGAGTCTCGCGCTCAGTTGAATATGTTTTTTTTGTTTTTTTGCTTTTGTGGTAAAAATCTTTATCGTTGGTAGTATTTGAAACCATCTTATTGACACTTAACGTTCTTGTGAAGAAGCTTAACCATTAGATATACAAGCCTGTTTCATTTTCCTTAAATTGGAATCATACCCTAACCAGATTACAAAGAAACTTTTGATATTTTCAAATCACAGTAAAATATTGGAATAACTGTAAGGTATTAAAACTGTATAAAATTAATATTACACTTACATTGTTTATATGTTTGCCATCTCTGTTGTATGTTATATTTTAGCTCAGGAAATCTGCCAAAAACTACAGGAAAACGAAAATTTCCATTTTTTTAACCTAATATTTATCTGAAAGCAATGCATATTAGAATAAGATAAATAAAACGTCTCCTTTGTAATGCTTAGGGTGACGCAGGCTTGACGGGGAGAAAGATAATAGTTGATACTTACGGCGGCTGGGGAGCCCATGGAGGAGGAGCCTTTTCCGGTAAGGATCCTACCAAAGTCGATCGCTCTGCTGCTTATGCTGCTCGCTGGGTAGCAAAGTCATTGGTGAAATCTAAGCTCTGCAAACGGTGTCTTGTCCAGGTAAGTTGTTTTAAATGTTTTCGGTGTTTGTTGTCCACTATAAATACCTAATTACTTTAGAGATTTTGAACCAATTCTTTCGCCGATCTTCCTAGTTTTAATGTTTTGCGAGCATCTTATTCAAAACTGAGAGAATATATCAAATAGTTAATATAGAATAAGGTCCTACTCATTCAGAATATATCAAATAGTTAATATAGAATAAGGTCCTACTCATTCAGAATATATCAAATAGTTAATATAGAATAAGATGCTACTCATTCAGAATATGTCAAATAGTTAATATAGAATAAGGTGCTACTCATTCAGAATATGTCAAATAGTTGATATGGAATAGAATGCTACTAGTCCAGTATATGTCAAATAGTTAATATGGAATAGAATGCTATTCGTCCAGAATATGTTTGTTTGTCTGTAATTAAGCACAAAGCTACACAATGGGCTATCTGTGCTCTGCCCACCACGGTTATCGAGCCCCAGATTCTAGCGTTGTAAGTCCGCAGACATACCGCTGTGCCACTGGGGGCTCCTGAATATGTTGAATAGTTAATATAGAATAAGATGCTACTCGTTCAGAATATGGGTAAATGGAGAAATAATCGCGAAGCCTTAAAAAATGAAAAGTTGGAGAACTGTTGTTCAGATTGTATAATTTGTCTGTCACTGTTTCGTACAGAGTCATAAATAAAACTATTGGGGATACCTTTTTTTTTAACTATTGAATAATGTGTTTCTATATTATTTCCACTTGTAAAACAAGCTAGAAATTTGAAAGATTAATATGAATGTTCGTATATGAAGATGCTATATATCTATGCATCATTGTTTCAGCTCTCCTACGCTATCGGTATATCCGAACCAATCTCCATAGCAATTTTCACCTACGGAACATCGAAACTTTCTCATCTAGAACTATTACAGATCGTCAGGGATAACTTTGATTTGCGGCCAGGCAAGATCATAAAGTGAGTACAAGTTGTTGTTTGATAAAAAATGTTTCTAAATTTATTAAAAAAATACAAGTCTGAAGCTGTAATTGTAAGTTACCAGCCCCAAAGGGTTGTAATCTATACAAAGAATAAAAAAAAATACTTCAACGGTTGTATTATTGGAAAAGTTTGTTCACAGGGAATCAATCGTATCTCACAATTAGGTGTTGCAAGTCCTGGAATTTACCGCTGACCCAATGGGGACTATTAAAAAAACGTTACGAATAATATATTTTGTTTTAAATTCACAGTTCAGCTAAACTTTTAGATCGTTTTCATATTTCAAATAATTCTAATTTTAATTACATACTAGATGTACTTCCGCAGGGTACCTGAAAATTTCCTGTTTCAAGAGTAAATAAAACCAGAATTAAGAGTAACAAATATTTTTTTTTTACTTTTCAAATTCATGTGTCATGCTGTGATGTAGCCTACAGAGTGCATAATTCTTCTCGTGATTCATGGCATGCGTACGTTTTACTGACGTCAAGACAGTACAAATTACAACGTTAAGCGTCCCTTGTGTGACATCATTTTAGTGTTTATTAACTGGCTGACAGACAACACCCTACTGTATTGTGGTGCGAGTGGTTAAAATAAATGACTACTCCGGGCGGCCTTCACCCCTCTTTCGGGGAAATTAGGGACATAAAAGGAATGCACACATTTATTCAATCAATGTGGTTATTTTTATATCTCATTTATTTTGGTTGTGATGTTAACATACTGAACTATAGCAATACTAACCTTAACTACAAACATTTGGCTTTACTGCTAACTGTTCTGGAGGCAGAGACGTTTTCAACACCTCAGACTACTCGGTACAACTTTTTTAGGGGGCCCGTCCGTAATGATTAGTTATAGGTATATCAATTTATAAGTTGTTTGCATTACTTTGAGGGTCCGCAATATGAGGGGCCCGTCGATGCGTTGCTCCGAGTGCACCGACGTTAAATACGCCACTGACTGTTGGTATTATTTAATAAATTTTCGAGTGAAAATGCTCAAAACGTACTTCTGGCAAACTTTTAACAAAAACAGCGAACACAACAAGAACAAAACTTTAATTTCAGTGTATAATGAATAGTAAGTGAATTCACGAACTTCTTGTTTTCTCTTCCAGGGATTTGGACTTAAAACGTCCGATTTTTCAGAAAACGAGTACTTATGGTCATTTCGGTCGGGATGATTTTCCCTGGGAAATTACGAAGAAGCTAACGCTACCAACTGGATGCCCTTTTGTTGAATAAATATTAGGAAGGAATTTGTAATTAATTTCTTTGTTTTCATGTTTTATGTTAAAACTGTTTTTGAAAGTGACATGAATTTTGGAATCATAACATTTCTTTCTTTATATTCGATCAAGAGATGGTAATATTATAGTAAACTTCGATAATAAGGTCCGTGAGTAGTTTTGAAGGATTTTACCATAAGATTACATAAATTTTGTAAATAGCAATGCCATAGTTTATAGTATGTAAAGTACTTACAAATGTAGAAGGTATAAAATGAACAGCGTGTCTATAGTTAGTTATCTACAAAGAACTGTACGTATTTCGCCTGAAGTATTTAGATGCTACGTACTTGCAATGTGTACAAAATATTATTTTATGTTATTTTAATCTATTTTGACTATTTTATACATCCACTAAAGTCTTAGGAAATGTTACTTTTGTCAAAATTTTAAATAAACTAT